TAAGTAGATTGGTGTTTAACTATAAAAGTTCATGCATTTTTTTCTATAAAATGTTAAGCCATTGCAAGTTTTTAAATGTGTGGAGTGGCCTGGCCATAATTGTACTTTAGAGAATTATGCAGTGATATGATGATATATGAGACCAAGGGAGACCAGAGTTAGAAACTCAATAATGCAATGAGAGACTTCAACAGGATCAAAATAGTCAATTTGGAGAGAAATTTCTGCAACCCAGCGGCCAAAATTTATTGACTAATTGAACAAAGATCAAGGAGTAAAGGGTGAATTACAGAAAGGAAATGATGACCCTGAGGGTTTCTTAATCTAGATTAGGCAGATGATGCCATCAACTGGTGCATTTTGATGCCATTCAAAAGGGGAATTGAAGATTATAAGTTATAATTGACCACAAAGTTTGCATCCATGCTCATAAATAGAGATCATCTATGTTAAACAAATAGTGCTCCAGAATGGACTGATCCTTTGAGAGTTAACACATTTTGCCCATGTCTATTTTTTTTAAGTTGTAGTTGGACACAATACCTTTATTTTATTTATTTACTTTTATGTGGTGCTGAGGATTGAACCCAGTGCCTTGCACCTGCTAGGTGAGAGCTCTGACGCTGAGCCACAACCCCAGCCCCTTGTCAATGTCAATTTTTTAAAATAAATATAAGTAGGCTCATCAGCAGATTCAGTCAGGTTGGGATTTAATATAGAACACAACCTGTCTTCTGAATCCCAACCCCAAGTCCTGTTTTTTTTTTTATTTTGTTTTCCCTTGTAGGTAAATCATGTATGAGTCCTAGAGAACTCCTCCATGGCTCTGTGCTTATCCCTGAGGGTATCGAGTTTGGGTCAACAATCACATATTCTTGTAATAAAGGGTGAGTTGGCAGGATACATGGATACTAGTAGTTCAAACCAGAATCCATCAGTCTTCCAAAATAGACCAGAGTCATTGTGATCTCCCCTTTAAAGTTCATAAGCAAAAAGGAGTCATCTTGACCTGCTCCAGAGACAGGTCTTCAGGATCACCCAATAGAGCATCCCTAGACAGAAAGAGATTGGGGATACACTGTTTTTAACCTTAAATCTCCAATGCTATAGACTTGAAGGTCCAATTTAATCTGGTTTTAGATTCTTGAATTTTTTATAAATCCTTAGTGTACTGCCACTCCCTGTCATACATGATATTCTTTTTTTTCCTTTTTTTACATTCTTTCAGTAAAGAAAGAACTAGTTTTCTAAAATATAATGGTAGCTGGGAGATGATCACTCATCTCTTGTCTTTAGATATCGACTCATTGGTGGCTCATCTGCTACATGTATTGTCTTGGACAATACTGTAATCTGGGATAAGGACATGCCTTTTTGTGAATGTGAGTACAACAATCTCTTTATGGCATCCTATATAATTTCTCTATCCTCTTTTAAGGGGAAACTGTGCAGATCCACATCAAAATGAGTACTCAGGAGGGTTACACTTGGTTTAGGTAGTTCTGAGCACAGAGTGTGATCTATCCTCCTCTGTGGCTCTTACTCCCAACACACTTTCCTTTGATTACTATCTTTTGGTAATGTTATTTTATAGTGAATGACTTCTTAGATATAAAATATATCATAAGATTACACATTGACCAACTTTATTCCATGCAAAAGTAGGTCATCCTGAGTGCCTTCTGTAACAGTTTATCTGTACTCTGAAGTAGGGACTAGGGACAAACTCATAGCTTTTTGAGTTTTCATCAACCTGTTCCATGTATCTTCCTGCCTGGCTACTTCCTATTTAGAATCATCTTTAAGATCAGGACACAGAATTGCAACAAAAGGGATAAATGGTAGGCTGAGTTGAAGTTTGGTTTATAAGAATGAAAACAAAATTCTTAGGAAGTATAACATCTAAATGCCTTCTCTCTTTTCTGACCTACCTCCTTAAAAGCTATTCCTTGTGAGTCACCCCCAACCATCTCCAATGGGGACTTCTATAGGACCAGTGAAGATACCTTTTACTATGGCATCGTGGTAACTTATCATTGCAATGTTGGACCACGTGGGGAAAAGCTGTTTGACCTCGTGGGTGAGAAGTCAATATATTGCACCAGTCAAGACAATCAAGTTGGTGTCTGGAGCAGCCCACCCCCTCAATGTATTCCTCAAGTCAAATGCCCATTTCCAGAAATTGAAAATGGAATTGTGGAATCCGGATTTAAACGTTCGTTTTTCTTAAATGATACAGTGATGTTTAAGTGTAAACCTGGCTTTACCATGAAAGGCAACAACATGGTGTGGTGCCAACTAAACAGCAAGTGGAATCCTCCACTGCCAACATGCTTCAAGGGTAAGTTGGGATGAAATTCTGGGTATCTGGAAATAAAATTAGTGCCTTGGCAGGATAAATACATGGGACATACAGGAAGAGTAGGAAAAGCAAACCATATGTTTCTGGGATTCTTTAAAAAAATTTGGAAGTAATATCTAAATGTTGAAGGGGTAGAAAATTTTATTATTATATTCTGGGACATTACTAGATCTGCATTAATATAGGGAATATTATAAGACACTTTTTTAAAAAAACTCTCAGAATGGATTAAAGACTTAAAATGCAAGACATGAAACTACTGGAAGAAAACATAAATGAAATGCTTCAAGACATTGGAATTGGCGAGGATTTTTTTGAATAAGACCCCAAAAGCACCTGACACTAAAAATCTGTACATCAAAAAAAATGACCAACAAAGTGAAGAGGCAACATACAGAATGGAAGAAAATATTTGTAAACTACATATCTGGCAAGGGGTTAATAACCAGACTACACAAGGAACTCAAACAACTCAAAAGCAAAAATTTTTAAATAATTAAATTTAAAAATGGACAATAGACATAGTCATTTCGGGAAAAGAAGACATATGAATATGAATAGCTAATATATGAAAAAAATTCTTAACATTACTAATGATCAGAAAAAAATGCAATATGACATCATCTTATTCCAGTTAGAATGGCCATTATCAAAAAGAAAAACTGTAGCATGTGCTGATGAAGATATAGAGAAAAGGGAATGCTTACATAGGGTTATATAAATGTAAAATTTGTACAGTCATTATGGAAAACAGTAATGGAGTTTCCTCAAAATATTAAAAATAGAAATACTATATGAAGCCAGCAATCCCACTCCTGGGTCTATATATATTTAAAGGAAATGAAATCAGTGTGTTGAAGAGACCCTGCACTTCCATATTTACTGAAGCATTATTCATAATAACCATGAAGTGGAAACAGTCTAAGTATCTATCAGCTGAAGATGCATAAAGAAAATGTAGTGCACAAACACAATGGAAGGCTATTCAGGAATAAAATGAGAAGAAAACCTATCATTTATGGCAACCTGGATAGAACAGGAGATCATTATGTTAAGTGAAATAATCCAAGGCACAGAGAGGCAAATACTACATGATCTTACTCATGCATGGAATCTAAAAAAGTTGATCTCATAAAAGTTGATTATAGGATAGTGGCTACCAGAGCCTAGGATGAGATGGGGGGCGGGGGAAGCTGAGGAGACATTGACCAATAGATACTAAGTGATAAGAGAAATAAATTCTAGTGTTCTGTTGCACAGTAGGATGATTCTATGTAATAATGATATACAGTACATTTTTTAAAAGATAAAAGAAACAATCTTGAAAAAATTCACCACAAAAAATGAAAAATATTTTAGAATATTGCTATATTTACCATGACTTGAATATTATACAACATATTCATGTACCTGAACATCACATGGTATCTCATATATTGGTACAATGTTGTTCCAATTAAAAATAAAATAAATAATAACAAAATAAATAAACTGGGCGCAGTGGCACATACCTATAATCCCAACGGCTTGGGAGGCTGAGGCAGAAAGGTTGTGAGTTCAAAGCCAGCCTCAGCAACTTAGCAAGGCCCTAAGTAACTCAGTGAGACCCTATTTCTAAATAAAATATAAAATAAGGCTGGGAATGTGTCTCAGAGGTAGAATTTGAGTGCTCCTGAGTTCAATCCCTATACCCGCCCTCCCAAATATATTATATATGTAAATATATTATATATAGAGAGAGAATCACAAAGTCAATAGAGATTATATCTATCTATCTATCTACCTATCTATCTATATATATTTAGATTTCTTTAAATGAGGATAAAATGAGCTCTCAATCCTATTGGCCATGTCAATTGGGGAAATTAGGTGAGATCAGAATTTGATTCAAAATATCATGGACATTATACATTTTCATATTGAGAAATATAACCTTTATGAAAGAAGGCTAATAGTCTGATTGGGTCTGTTCTCCCATTCTTCCCTTCTCCCCTACTCTTATTGCAAAAGATCTAACTTTCTAAAAACATGGCAGCATTGGGAATTCCTTTCACAAAGTTCAGAAAGCTCATCAGTCTTGTTTTGGGAGCAGAAAAGAAGAGACAGATTTGGTGTTGAAAATGTGTTCCTGAAATATGGTTCCCTTGGTTCCACTATTAGTGAAAGAGTATCTTGGATGCTGTAGTAGAATGAAATGAAAAACAATGAGTGAGTGTGATGTTTCCTGCCAAGGATCAAGAATAGAAAAAACAGGTAGCTGCCTAGGTCTTCATGTCCAAAAAAGAGCAGTAGAGTCAGCCCTCTCCTCCTCTCTCAAAGTGGGTCTCTGCCTTCCCAGGAGAGTTGATAGAGAATCTCCATCCCACTCCTATCAACCACAGTCTTGCTATAAGTTGTAAAGAAGAAGGTTCTTATTTCAGAAATAAAAGACCGTCTGGTCTTGTTCTTTTCTCAGGGTGTCTACCACCTCCACATGTCCACCATGGTAATTATAACAAAAGGGATAAGGAGCTCTTTACAATTGGACAGGAAGTGTCCTACAGCTGTGACCCTGGCTACACTCTCATTGGATCTAACCTTGTGCAGTGTACATCCTTGGGAACCTGGAGCCATGCAGCCCCCACATGTGAAGGTGCCTTAAAGCTCTTATGCAGCTAAAGGAAACTGAGCCGTTTCCTGACTGCATGTACCAGCCTTGTCTCTTTTTCCCTAGTGAAATCATGTGATGCCATTCCAAACCAACTTCTCAATGGCCACGTGGTTCCTCCTCCTAACCTCCAGCTTGGGGCAGAGGTTTCCTTTGTTTGTGATGCAGGGTGAGTGTGAGGTGATAGGGCCTGAATTGACACCTATCCAGAGCTGAGAAGTGCAACATGTGAGCTCTAAAAATGGTTCATTTTTTTTTCTCACTTTGATTCTTTTTCCTCTCCTTTTCTTTACACTTTACGACTAAGAACTCTGTGAGTAACCATACGCTTTTCATTTTCTACAAGTGTATGAATTGGGTATGGTCAGTCAAGGCTGGAAAATATCCATTCATTATTTGAAAAAGAAGAGTTTTGGTTCAAAAGTTAAAGGTCTTGTTATAAAGAATGAATACATGATCTGGGTTCAGTCAAAGAGACTCCTCAGGGTGAACTTGTGTAACAAGGTCTTTGATATTTTCTTCTTTAGGATTTGAGGCCTTTATCTTCACGATGGTCAAGAAACTCTTGACCTTTGGATGCCAAAGAGGAGAGGGAGAGAATTCAGGAAAAGAATATGATTCTTAGGCTTTGTTTTCTCTCTGTTGTTACCTAGTCTGGATCTATCGTATGACTGAGTGGACTTACAAGTAACCTTGGACTTTTTCCTTATCAGAAATGCTTTAAAATATAGATTCTATCCATACTTGAAAAAAGTGATTAATTCCATGCAACAGAGAATTGGTTTCTTTTAGTGATGATTTGCTACCCCTTATTATTTAAGGTTCCGATTAAATGGCAAATCTTCTAGTCAGTGTGTCCAAGAAGGAATGACAGTAATCTGGAGTAATAAGTTTCCTGTCTGTGAACGTGAGTAGAAAACAAGAATCATCAAATATGGATCTTGCCTCTTGATGTTGTTTGTGTTTACATACGTTTGCCAACTATAACATCTTATCCATGTGTGTGCTTTGAATGAAGACATCTGTATTTATGTATTTATATCCATACAGGCATATATAAATAGATATGTAGATGCTCACTTTTCTCTCTGTTTTAGCATGTAGAACCAGAAGGGTTAAATTTACTCAGTTGACTGCATGTTGTATTGTGGATTCTAGACATACAGTTACCAGGACCAAAACCAAGCATAGAAGGATGTGCTAAAACAGTTAAACTGTGTCTTCCTGTGCAAGTTCCTCTACTGAAGGGCTCCTCTTGGAGCCAGGGAAATTAACTAAAAAGGGTGGAGTTTGGTAGTTTTTTCTTTGTTCTGAGGCTTACCCAGGAGAGGTGTGCATATTAACAACTAATACCATTCATGCCCATTAGGACACACAAATAAAGGATATGAAGTGATTATTCAAAGATTCTGTTCACTTCCTGTGACTTTCTCAAAGGAATCTAGCTTTGAGGAATGGCAGCTGACCTGTGGTCAAGTTGCAGTATCTGTAGTGGTAGGACCAAACGTGATCATGCCACCTGTAACCCCAGGTATGCGGTGCATTTGAAATAGGCTCTGGGTGATTATTCTGTTCTAGATATTGAACTTGCCCCTTTCCCATATTTTTGTCTTACTGGATTCTCATCACACTCCATGAAGTAACTTGAATTATACTATTGATAAAGAAACTGAGGCTGAGAGAAGATACAACTTGCCTAAGGTCATACAGCTATTGAATGACAGTGGAGATTTGAAATCAGGTCTACTGAGTGTGAATGTCATTAGTCTAAGATGCCTCCTCATATGTAATTACCATGTCATTAATATATTATTCCCATGTGCTGTTTGTTTATTGCTTCTCATTAAAATTGTTTAGCCAGAACTATTGTATAAATTCAGTTTCACTGTTATTGTTTGGTTAAAATGGTTTATATTGATTTGTTAGCTGAGGACTGAGAAACAGGTAAGAATTTAGGAGCTTGGGAATCAATGAGGACTGTAAGACATAAATCATACAAATACCTAAGCCAGTTTCTTAAAAGTGGCATTTGAATCTTTCGTTTAAATTTGAATATTTTAGTGTCACCATCAGTGTGCCAACATAATTCCTTTTCTATTTTTCAGGAATTTCTTGTGACCCTCCTCCTCCTATAAAAAATGGTCGGAACAGTGCTTACTCTCAACCTATACGTCTTGGTACCGTAATAAGGTACACTTGTGTGGCTAAATATCGTCTCATCGGAGAAAAAGTTATTTTGTGTATAAGTAAAGACCAAGTGAATGGAGTCTGGGATAAACCTGTTCCTGTATGTGAATATTTCCAAAAAGATTCTTCTTGCTCTGAGCCCACTGTACCAGGGGGATACAGAAATAGAGAAGCTAGACCGCCATACAAACATGGTGATTCTGTGACATTTACCTGTAAAGCCAACTTCACCATGAAAGGAAACAAAACTGTTTGGTGCCAAGCAAATAAAATGTGGGGCCCAACGCCACTACCGACCTGTGAGAGTGGTGAGTGAGAAAGAAAAACCTAGTTGAGGGGCTAGGATCTCCCATCTCTGTGCAAACCATGCTTTGTCTCTTCCTGAAGGGAGGAAAAAGATGGATTTCAGGATGATAGGGGTGGAGGGAGGAAGCAAGGGAAAATTTGAAAATTGAGGTTTCCATCTTTTTTCTTCATTGTGGAGGAATTTTACTGTCAATTTTAAGAACATGACTTGAGCAAAGGAGTTTGAAGTATTAGGGGAAAATGTCATTGATCCTTCTTAATAACTGAGTGGAAAATCTCCCAAAGATGGGAGGCCAGAGTTTACTAGAGCTATGGGATTTGAGTGATTTTAAACTATATATTTGGGTTACTACTAAAGTAATAAGAAATGTGGGATCTAATAGAAAAAAAATCACCCAATGGATGTAAAATCCATTGAGGAAGGCTGTACTATAATCTGGCTCAAGTGACATTCCGTCCTCTGTGCTTGGTAAGCACATTCTGAAGTGACCCCTGGTGTCTCTTCAAGTTATCTCCTGAGACGACATTACTCTTCGGATCAAAAGACTTTGAAAACTGGACTACATTCAATTCTTCATTTTCTTCTCATCTGGCTTGGTTTATATTCCGAATGCTCTCCAAATCCAAATTTCAATTTTCCAATTACAAGGATTGACAATATTTGAACATGTTATAGCATCACAACTGGATATTTATATTCTTAATAAGGAACAATATTGAAAAATTCTAAATGGATTAAAGGGCTGAGAAACCATTCAATCATTAACAATATAATTCCATCTACCAATTGATTGATCTATAAATAGATAGGTACATAAATGTGAGGATAGTCTCAGAGGAGGAGATTTTTAAGATAGTCACAAAATTGAATGACTATGGGAAACAGTAACTAAGTTTTTGTAAACCTTTAGGTAGATAGATGTACATATATTGACATATATAGACACATTTGTATGATATAGACATACTCTATTATTAAGTACAGGAAGCATACGATAATATGTATGGAGTATGCCCACAATATATTAGTGTATATATGTATCACATATTGGATACCAGTAAGCTATATGACTAATATCTGGCAGGATTACCCTGCAAATAATAAAGTACTACTTTTGGAGCAGAGAACAAACTTAAGGACAGGATGAAAATATGGGTAAAAGTGGATATACTTTTAGCAACTGAAATTTTTCTCAAGGCAAAATCAATTCATATAGTGTAATTAAAGATGAAAATTAATGCAAGAGTCAGGGGATAAAGTGGATACAATTAAACCACATTTGAAGTTGAAAATTAGTGATAGCTGGTTGCTATAAATTACATTCCATTTATTTGAATCTATGTCCTAAAGTGAGCAGATTGTGAAGCCCGTCTCATCTGATGGCTTTTTTTCCTAATATGTGTGTGTGTATGTGTGTGTGTGTGTGTGTGTGTGTGTGTGAAGATATCCCTCTGCAGTGTCCAACACTTCCTGAGATCCACAATGGACATCACACAGGGCAAAATGTGAGCCAGTTTGCCCCAGGATTTTCTGTGACTTACAGTTGTAAACGTGGCTACTTGCTTAATGGAGAAAAGATCATTAGGTGTCTATCTTCGGGAGACTGGAGTGCTGCCCCTCCCACATGCAAAGGTATCCTATATTTGCAATTTATTTTAAGGAACTGGGCTGTTCTGTGATTTGCCACCGTTTCTTATATGTGGCTTGTATTTTTAGAGGCACGGTGTGACACTCCAGCTCAGCTTCTCAATGGGCGGGTAGAGGTACCTCAAAGTCTTCTGGCTGGAGTGACTGCGAAATTCTCCTGTAATGAAGGGTGAGTATCAGGAGGCTCTTTGAGATTTAATTTATTTGGATGACCCATGCATGGTGGAAACTGAAATTTGCAGAAGGAACCTTTGGAAGGATCTATGGCTATCCTGAGTGAGGTTGTAAGAGAGCGAGCTGGTTAAAAAAAAAAAAAAAAGTAGGTGCACACAAATGGAATGAATTTGTCTTGTATTTTGAGTGAGAGGCTGACGTTCTTCAGCACAAACTGCCTGACAGCTCTGAATGACCACCCTCTGTCTCCAGGTACAGATTACAAGGCCAACCTTCTAGTCAGTGTGTAATTGCTGGAAATAAAGCTATTTGGACCAAGAAACCTGTATGTGAAGGTATGTAAGACAACCGTAGGGCATACGTAGGGCGCCATGGTGGTTTGACAGGACGCTGCAGTCTCAGCTTTATAAAAAACTTCTGGTTCATTCACTAGCATACAGACTCTTACATAGCAAAGGATACCTTGAAATCTTAAGCAGCAGGGTCTTCATTGAAGCAGCCTTCAATTGTCTCTTTATTCTCAGCCTCCCTCGAGTCAAATGGGCTTCCTAGGCTTTTCCTTCTCTGAAAGCTACATAGACTTGTGAAATCATTCAAAAACATTGGATACTTGGTAATAGGAACCAAAGGATCAGCTGAGTCAATATACTCAAACATGAAGATTTAAAGTCATACTTTTAAATTATATTGTATTTGCTGTCTTGATGGAGTTATTACAGATTCAAATATCACTGTCCTTGAACCTAGGAGGTGGGAGTAGTTTCAAGCAGCACCTGAGGCATTGTCTCTTGCAGTACACTTGTGATTTTTCATCTCTCTCTAATTTCTGTAGAAATTCTTTGCCCACCACCTTCTCCTATTCTCAACGGAAGACATACAGGCAGCTCTTCAGGGAAATTTTCATATGGAAGCAGTCTCACTTACACTTGTGACCCAGACCCGGAGAAAGGAGTGAAATTCATCCTTATTGGGGAGAACACTATCCGTTGTACCATGGATAGTCAGAAGTTGGGGACCTGGAGCGGCCCTGCACCACGCTGTGAACTTTCTACTTCTGCGGTTCATTGTCCACATCCCCAGATCCTGAGAGGCCAAATGTCATCTGTGCCAAAAGATCAATATTCCTATAATGACACGGTGGTATTTGCTTGTGAGCCCAGCTTCACCTTGAAGGGCAGTGGGAAAATACGATGTAATGCCCAAGGCACGTGGGAGCCATCAGTGCCCGTCTGTGAAAAGGGTGAGTGTTCTGTACTGATGTATCGTCTCGAAAAGGTCGAGGAAGGATTGTGGGCTTTCAACAGGACCTTTTCCACTTCCTGTACTCTTGGTCAAACTAAATATAGAGTGGGTAGAAATTCTATGGAGGAGTTTCTTAACACTCCCCACCCCACCATGGTTTCATTTTGTGGACATATGCTTGGGGAAAAAGTACTAGGGATCATTGAGTTGTCCATTTCTTTCTTTAAAAAAAAATGGAAGTAAAACACTTGTTTGTCTTAACAATGTTTCTTAAAAGGGAAGTCATCAAAGCCCTCACCCAGGGATATATCAGAATCTCCCATAAAAGCATTCAAGATGGTTCCTTAAGAAGGAAGAAACAGGAGAGGAGTTAGACCAAGCAGGAACTGAACAGGATCTGCAGCTGCCTAAGTACAGACAAGAAAACATGACTGAGAAGCAATGATCTAAAATTACCCCAAACTGGGTTGCAAGATACGCTCGTGCCACACAGCTGCTGCCAGAGTGCAAATGTAGCATTAATGTCAATTTTTTTTTTTTTGGCTCAGTTTCTGTTGTTATCTTAAAGCAATTGTTTTGTGTTTTCCTTTGCTTTAGAATGCCAGCCACCTCCTACAATCCTCAATGGGCAAAGAGAAGATAGACGCCTGGTCCGCTTTGACCCTGGGACCTCCATAAAATATAGCTGTAATCCTGGCTATGTGCTGGTAGGAGAAGAATACTTAAACTGCACCTCGGAAGGAAAGTGGACACCCACTACCCCTCAGTGCAAAGGTACCAAGCCTCCAATGCAGATGTTTTGCTGTTTTTAAGACTACCTTGTGCTGATGTCTCCTCCTCGTCTACTTTCCTAGTGGCGGAGTGTAAACCGAAAGGACCGCAACTCTTTGAAAAACCTCAGAATGCGTTTATTAGACCAGCTGTTTACTCTTCTTGCGGTGAAGGGTGAGTGAAGGCTCTGACTTAGTAGTGCATACTACTATGTAAGAGTTTATCTCAAAGGTGCTTCCCTGTTCCATGTTCCTGCAGAGTTGATCACACTATTTGTCCTTGCATAGAAACTATGCAATGGATAGATGGCAGTGACCCTGGCTACATTTTTGTTGCTGTTGCTTCTATCACTTCTTGTTCTGAAAGGAACAAATCTGCCTTAAAGCCAATAGTTCTCACTTAGCTTAGTGGTCAGCAGATGGCCAAATGATGTGACTCTTTATCTCTAGGTACCGGTTAAGTGAGAATGCTTATCAACTGTGTGAAGGTACAGTTCCTTGGTATATGGAGATTCGTCTTTGTAAAGGTGAGTGGCAGAAAATGACAGAGAATCTGAAGTGATGGGCCATCTATGTGTTTCTTGGGAGATTTCGGTTTCAGGCCATGCCGTGGGGACTAGTGCATTACATTCCATTCTGTCAATTCTGTCAATGGTTACAGTGGCATAGCTTTGCCATGTCTTTCTGTTGTCACTGTTGCCTACTTTAGTCACCTAAACTGAATGTATTCAGTTACTGATTCTCTTTTCTGATTTAGGATTATGAGAATAATGAGAGTGATGAATGTGTGAACCTCCATCTTTAACATGGGATAACTGTGGTTTAGTGAAGAGAACAGGAGATGGGTGTCAGATCTGAAGTCAGATTCTGTTCCCACTGCTTAATAGCTGTATGACCTTGGGCAATTTATGTAGCTTCTCTAAAGCTCTAGTCTCTCATCTGTAAAACTGGCATCAAACTATAGACTTCAGAATTATTGGAATTAAATGATACTAACCCTATTTTCTGGATGGAAAAACTGCTAGTCACAAAATAGGCACTCAGCTAACAATAGATACTCTTAGCCAACTGTACTATTGTATCACCTCAGCACGAAGCACTCAAAAAAGCATAATTCTATCACCCGTACCTTTTGTCCTCCCATCGGCTATGTTCAAAGAATTCTTCCTTTAATTAGCAAGTGACTACTGGGTCTTTCTGCCTCATAATTTGATATCGATCGGTATGTTCACTTTCAATAAAGATTTTCTTTCCTGTGAAACTGCTTAAGTTTTATATCCATAATGAACTTCGAAATAACACCATGAAAATTCATCCATAGCCTCTGGGAAATGACAGCGTCACAACCTGCTTTGCTAATATTCTTTGTTGTCTGAGAGAGACTTCTACAGTATCTTTTCATCTCTCTAGAAATCACCTGCCCACCACCCCCTGTTATCTACAATGGGATACACACAGGGAGTTCCTCCGAAGACGTTCCATATGGAACCATAATCACTTATACGTGTAACCCCGGGCCAGAGAAAGGAGTCCAATTCAACCTCATTGGGGAGCGCACCATCCAGTGTACAAGCACTGATCGAGAGAGAGGCACCTGGAGTGGCCCCGCTCCTCTCTGTAAACTTTCCCTCCCTGATGTCCAGTGCTCAGAAGTCATCATTGAAAATGGAGTCAAGACATCCATAAAGCCAGCCCCATATTTCTACAATGACACTGTGACCTTCAAGTGTAATAATGGATATACTTTGAAGGGTAGTGGTCAGATTCGTTGCAAAGACAATGATATCTGGGATCCTGAAAAACCAGTTTGTGAAAAAGGTAAAAACCCAATGGGGATTTAGAAAAAAAAAAGGTATTTACTTACTTTGTTGTTTATTACTCCCACTCAATACTAGAGTTGTAGAAAAAGCCAAGGGAGCATGAATTACTTTCCCATTCCTTCTATTCTGCGAAAGAATGTTCTATGTGTGCTGTATGTATTCTTCATGCAAATGCCTCCTTAGATCTAGGATATAGTCAGGGTAGATAATGAGAGGGATTTTTTTTTTTTAATGGGACTTGTTCTTTTACAAGAGTAGAAAGCATTCAGTGATGAATGAGAGCTTTCTGATCCTCGGCTTCCAAGTTTTAGATTGTCTGTTGTCAAATGTTGCATACTTACAATTTTGGAGTCGAATTCCTCTGTATTGGTGTTTATGTGGGGAGCTTTCTCCTCAGGATGCCAGCCTCCTTCTGGGCTCCATCACGGTCGGCATACAGGTGGAAATATGGTCCTCTTTGTCCCGGGGATGACTGTAGACTACACTTGTGACCCTGGCTACATGCTTGTGGGAAACAAATCCATTCAGTGTATGCCTTCAGGACACTGGAGTCCCACTCCACGATGTGAAGGTACTTTCAGTTCCTGAGTTGTCTTTCTCTTTGAGATGAAGTATCTATGAATAATTCCAATTTTGCTCCCCCAGAAGCATGTAGGGATGTGACAACGCTTCCAGCTGAGGCACATGTGGAACTAGTGAACACGGCCTGTCAAGACGGGTGAGTGTGAGGTAGTCTGTTCTGAGTAAAGGGGTCTGCCTTGGGTTTGCTCGCTCACTCTGTCCACAGCTTTTCTTGATGAGTTCCTTTACAGGTTCCTCCTTGTTACACCCACAGAGAGCATTAGGTTGTGGTGGTCTAACTAGCGACTCTGAGTTTCTATGCTTTCTTGAAATGGGAAGAGCTTTACAGGGTTTTTAAGTCTAAAGTAGTTTTCTTATTTACAAAATCAAGAGTTCTAGCTTCCTCCGCCAAAGTTCCTATTTGGAAGTGCCTCTGTATCTATAGTTTGAAGAAGCCCAGTTGCAGAAGTGTGATTTTTGGAAAAAGGTAATGTATTATATTCTGTCTCTCACTAGGTACCGGTTGACTGGACATGCTTACAAGAAATGTCAAGATGCTAAGAATGGGGTTTGGTTCCAGAAGATTCCACAATGTAAAGGTAAATTAAAAAAAAAAAAACCCACAAAACTACCTGTGTACATAGCGGGTTAGAGAGGAAAGGCCACTGAAGAGATTTCATTTATTTCTGATTCTCCCTCAGTGTATATGTAAGGTAATAGAAAATCTGTCAGTGTTTGAGTCAAGCATAGTAGTGCACACTTGTAATCCCAGAGGCTAGGAAGGCTGAGGCAGGAGGATCACAAGTTCAAAGCCAGCCCTCAGCAATTTAGTGAGGTTCTAAGCAATTTAGCAAGAGCCTGTCTTAAAATAAAAAATAAAAAGGACTGGGGATGTGGCTTAGTGGTTAAGTGCCCTTGGGTTCAATCCCTAGTACCAAAAAAACCAAACTTTCAGTGTTTTATCAACCCTTGCACTAGGAAACAAATAATAGAAAGTGAGTATTTGCCATATATTTATAAAATATATAAACTATTTTTAAAAACTGTAGCTCCTATTTCTAGGCCATAAGAACATAGTTGTATTTCTTTCTATCTTAATACTTTTCTGAATTTTTTGGAACAAGTATGTATTACTCGTCACAACTTTTAATGAAGATGTTTAACAAAAAGCATAATCCGACTTCCAAAAGTTAAATAATTTTAGTTATGTGAGGTGTAATGCAGTTGTATAGTGTCACCTGTACTGAATGAAAATCGTCATTGTGATGGATCCACTGAAGTTGAATCCTCTAAATTTCTCCTGCAGCTATTCACTGTCCCCCTCCACCTAAGATTGACAACGGGAGGCACACGGGCATGATGGCAGAGCACTTTCTGTATGGAATTGAAGTCTCTTATGAATGTGACCAAGGATTCTATCTTCTGGGGAAGAAAATTTTACAGTGTGGAAATGATTCTCTAGGACATGGGTCTTGGAGTGAACCTCCCCCACGGTGCCTACAGTCTCCGCCTGTAACTCACTGCCCTAACCCAGAAATCAAACATGGATACAAGCTCAACAAAACTCGTTCTGCATATTCCCACAATGACCTATTGTATGTTGCCTGCAATCCAGGCTTCATCATGAAAGGAAGTCACTTGATAAGGTGTCATACAGATAACACCTGGGTACCAGGGGTACCGACTTGTTTCAAAAAAGGTAAGTTCCTTTAAGGAATAAAATATGGATATTGTACAAAATAAAGGTTTTTGAATATGCACTTGCCATTCTGGCTAGGGGAAAGCATTTAAAAGCTAAGGCGGTTGTATTGTTCGACAAGATATCTGATTTTCCTTCTCAATGATGCTTTTCCCTCTTTCTGTTTTCAATGTGTAGAGCAATACTATATGAAAGGACAAAAGTTAACTTCCAAATTAATTGAGGCTCCAAATTTCTTATTCTTATGAATTTAAAATAGGAAAAATACACAGATATTTTTTGGCTAATGTTTGACTGTAATGTTGCTTGATAATTTGATATTTAAGGCTGTCATACCAACCAGAAGGAGAACTATAGGTGTTCCAAAGAGTGAAGCTGGCCTTCAGACCACCAAATTATCTTTCTTATAATTTTAGTTGTCATTGGGAGCTTTATTCCTGTCAGTGATTATCTACAGCAGAGACTGCCAATGAGCGACCCAAATGAATTCAGGACCCCAGAACTTCTCTGTGGCCAACACAGTAGTCTTATTTTACGAGAAACCCATCTCTGTTGCCCAAGAAAATTAGTGAACCTGCAAATAGTGACATCCACAGCAATTGCCACTTTTGAAAGGTTAGGGGATCTCTGATTTATCACACAGAGACTCACTTCCTAGTTCCTAATGGCATTGGATGTGTGATCCTTAGACTCCAGCCTATTTGCTAGGTAGAGGAAAAAGAAGAGAATTCTCTTGGTTGACAGATTACAACTGTGGATTACAGCCACTGATGTTTCAATATCTTCCTTTGTTACTTTTCCTTAGATCATCTATGAGGTAGGTAGGAGTTATACATTTCTGTCCAGTGATGCTTGGTCTGGTTGGAATGAATGTTTCTGGTTACCAATTAACCGGCTTATGGCCGATTGCCTTTCTGCACTGTTATCACTTAAGATAGTGCTGTCTGGTATTTCTCTATGTCGAATTAAAGGTCCTTCCTTATTGATCTCTAAGCTTTCTTAGAGTGTCAGCCTCCACCTACCATCGCCAATGGGTCTCATACTGGTGGAAATAAAGCTGAGTTTGCTGCTGGAATGTCAGTCCTGTACAGCTGTGACCAAGGCTATCTGCTGGTGGGAGAGGAGTTCCTTGTCTGCACATATGAGGGAACCTGGAGTCACCCTGCCCCTTACTGTAAAGGTACTTTGTCTATTTTTTCTTTTCTTTTTTTTTTTTTGATCTTAGTAAATCAATTTGTTCCAAATAGATATTTTCTATGTTCAACTTAGAATAGTTGAACTGTTGAAATGTTCTATGTTCAACTTAGAATAGCCAATGAAATGCTATTAAATGGATCATTTAATTAAATGCACTTAATTGGATTAATACATTAATTAACATGAATGTTTCAAACTCAGAAAAATGGCTTAGGCTATAGTCTATGTGGTAAATGACCACAAATGTAATCCTTCACATACAGAAAGTTGAAGAGTTTTCATGATTAAACTTAAGCACAGATTGTATCTATGCTCTGGTTACAGTTATGATAAAATCTTTTGATAAAACACCAATAAAAAATATGATGGTCTTTTGAGCATATTTCCTCTGGGTGGTCATGGGATTATGGGTAAATTTTTTTATAAAAATCTTCAGAAAGTCATCTTTGCTATCAAAAACATTGCATATGAAGTATGAATAGTAAATTAATATCTAATGTTGCTGAACACATTTTACTATATGCCAGACACTGTGCAGAGCACTTTACATGCACAACCTCATGAGATCAATCTTCCTGAGATCCATAGAAGTTTGGGGCCATTATTATCCCTGTTTTATAGATGAGGCTCCAGTGGGTTGGAGAGATTTATAACTTACTCAAAGTCAGGCAACTAGCAAGTAGGAGAATCAGAATTCAAATCTAAGATTTTACACTATTGACCTCTACACTGGAAAGGTGAAAGAAAAATGAGAAAACATACCAGTATGAATTAGAGAGTAAGATGGGGAGTAGGAAAATAAGCCAATAATTCAAAATATTTAATATTACCCATTCAGCCTTCATCTTTTCTCTAAGAAGCCTTTAGAATGATCCCATATGGAAGCAAAAAGAAAGAAAACAATCTGACTTAAATTACCTGGTGATTATTAAGACTGACAGCTGATCCTAAGAGACTATACCTGAAATATTGCTGTTTGCTATTTCAATGAAGCGTTGCTTACTGACAATGAAATAAGGTAGTTTCATAACCTTTCCAGTAAAAGGAGTTGCTTCTTGGGACTGAGGCTGTGGCTCAGTGGCAGAGTGCTTACCTCTCACATGTGAGGCACTGGGTTCAATCCTCCGCACCACATAAAAATAAATAAACAAAATAAAGATATTGTGTCCGTGTATAACTAAAAAAATATTTTTTTAAAAAGAAGGAGTTGCTTCTTTCTTAGTAAAGGGACAAAGTATGACTCTACTTCAGTCTGATTCCTTTAATTGCAGAGGTAAACTGTAACTTCACCGAGAATATGAATGGAATCCAGAAGGGACTGGAGCCTGGGAAGATGTATCAGTATGGAGCTGTCGTAACTATGGAGTGTGAAGATGGTTATACCCTGGAGGGCAGCCCTCAGAGCCAGTGCCAAGGCGACCACCAATGGAACCCTCCCCTGGCTGTCTGTACATCCCGTAAGTGCTAAAGCTTCACTGCTACTTGCATCTGGCCCATGGAGAGAGACCATGAAGTGTCTGCCTCAATGTTGGAGACCGCAGGGCTTTCAATTGACATAGGTCTGTGACCGGTGGTACAATAACAATGAACTTGAAGCCAGTGGTCTATTCTAGAAAAAGCACAGATTTCTGAGGATGCAGGAAGTAAATAAAAGAAAAATAGGGAAACATTAAGAGGAGAAAAATGCAAACTAACAGCCTTCCATTTGGAAAAGAGTTGTAGCAGTGATTTCCCTCCTTGCTTAATTTCGATTTATAAGTGCTTGCCAATTTGACAAGAGCTCCAAAAACATGTTAACTAACCTGTTAGAACTGTTCATGTTTGCATTCAATTCTGAGAAATCGTTAATAACAAAGTTGAGTATATTGTTTTGTTACTTGTTGGTGAATTTCCCTACCTACCTAATTTAGGTGAAAAAAAAAATCCAGTGAATTGTCACATGATAAAAGAGTGGGTCCAACTCAGGAATCCAATCTATAATAAATAGACTTGGAAGGGAGCTGACTTCTGGTACATTGCCAGAGGTTAATGGGACTTGGGTTACATGGAATTATACTATTAGACTGATATTTCATGATTTTATATTCTCCTTAGGTTCATTTGCTCCTCTTCTTTCTGGTAAGTTTTCTTAAATATTTGAAGAAAATCTCTTATTGTCTTTTATAAATACTTATAAAATTAGATGCCCTATAGTCCATTAATATTTTTTCATTTCAATTTATTGGATACGATCCTATTTTAATGTGTATGTCCTATTACAAAATATCCCTTTGGATAGAGTTGCATAAGTAATTTAAATAGCCAACTATTCCTGCTTTTTAAAATGAAAGTTTTGCTTTCATTACCCCTTGGTCTTTTGCATGATTTGGTACTTTTGAAAAAAATTCTGCTCTAGCAAAAAAGAACTGAGAGTCAAATGTTGTTATGCAAAAATCATGGCATCCTGGTGTCCTGAGCTCCTAATTTCACCTCAGTGACAATGTTACTAATAAAACTGAAAGGAACAGAAAAACCCAATAGAAAGTTGTCTGGAACCTTGTGATATCATGCTTTCTGTTTAGATAAAACGTGGACTGGCTCAAATCAGAAAAACTTTAGGCCCAGTTATGATTTATTCAGGAACTCAATGTTTATGGTTGAGAAAATTTAAATATAATAAAATATAAAACTTTTTAATAATTCTTAAGCATAAAACACTCAGCATAGGCCCCATAATCAGTCCATAACGGTATAGGTCATGTCTTCCTGGCATTTGATGGTCACTGTTTTTTCCCCTAGGTATCGTGGCAGGTTCAGTACTTGCTCTCTTCTTGGTTGGTGTCTCCTTATACATGATACTTAAGTACAGAGAACAGTAAGTTCAATTGCATGGTTGATCAAAATGCACAACAGGTCTTAGCTTCTTGTCTGAAACTGAACACAGAAGCACCCATTGTTTGAAGTGAACATTGCAATGTGACAACTGTAAGGAGGGATCTGGTGATATATAGAAGGAAGACCCTTCTGTAAGAACTTAAAAGATCCCTCGCACACAGCTCATTTTGTAGAATGATGTTTATTTAGATAGTACACTGTACAAAATCTAGGGATCAGAAAGAAAAACAAAACAAAGCAAAATGCCAGTGGTAACAGCTGCAGATATTTTGGTCTATTCCTATCAAATATTTCTCTTATTTTTTTTCTTTTTTGCTTTTTAAACTGAAATTATGGCATTATAATATCTCATCTTAATTTGATTTCCATTTAGACAAATGTATATATTTTTCACATCCTTAAATCATGTTTTTTTTAGTTACTTAAGAGCCTATTATTCTATTCTGTGTATTCATGCTTTGCAACAATTTTATTGTATATACATTTGTTTTGATAATAAGATAGGAAGAAAATCTTTGGACAAACTGTTTTCCTCATCTGCTAATTTCTTTAGGATAAATTTAAATTTTTAGAATTAGTAGGGATAAGTATATGAATATTTAATATGTTTAACAAATATTGTCAAATGACTTTCCAGAAATTTCTAACTTGATTATATATCGAATAATTAATGTGTCTGGATGTGTTGTGTTTCTCAACCTCTTTTCCTGCTTCATTGATTTGTCTATTCTTTCATCGCAAATAATTTGTTTTTAATTAATATAAACTGTATTATGCTGCTATAATATCTGATAAAGGATCTCTAATACAATTTGGGGGGCTTCCCACTGTATTCTGTTTTTTTCTTACAGGCAATTTTTGAAATTGTTATCAATCAAGTGTTATGATTGCATTTAAGTCTGTAGAGGAATTTCTGAGAAATTGGCCTCTTTCATGTTCTCTTGTTCAGAAACATACTAGGTCTCTCCATTTGTTTCCATATAGATTTGGCTCAGGTCAGGAAAACCTTAAACCCAATTATGATTTTTCATGAATTCAGTATTTAATGTTGAGAAAAGTTAGGTGTAAGAGTCAAAAAACAATTTTCCCACAGTCAAGTCACCTTTTTTTGACTAAATTATTTTTCTGTTTGCATAAATACTAGATTTCTATTTTTTTGTGTTTTCTTATCCAGAAACTAGACATACCTTTACATTTTACTTTTGTTTTATAACATCTGAATCCAACTGGAATTTATTTTGTGGCCTGGTGGTCGATGTAACCCCACTTGCATTCTTTTTCTGTGTAGTCAATTCTTTGAAAGCCTGTTTTGAGGAACATCCCTCCTTACCCAATGTTTTGTAGTGCTTTTTACCAGGTAGTGTAATTATTTACATAATAATTAAATAATTAATATTTAATTATTATGTCAGCTGCGAGTTATGTCAGAGACACATGATAGAGATGTGGAAAATAGATGGTGTTCTGCTGATCTGCCTGTCTCTAGGAGCCAGAACTACTCTATTAAGAATTATAGCATTATAAAAGTTTTTCTGAGATTTCAATTTTCTCCCTCTTTAATTTTTTTTTCCATTTATTTTTGCAGATAGGTTATAGAACTACTTATATACAACCATAACCATAGCCCCAAGAAAAAAGTATTAGTATTCACAGTTTCCTTCCAGAAACATAGATTTTGATATTTTTTTAAAAAATCTATCAGTCAAAATTTAATAGTTCACCTCATAATTACATAAATTTAAATTATCTAAGTATCCTTTTTATTGCTTTTGTAAATAAAATCATTTTGGCTCTGACATAATTAATTTCAAATGATATCTAGGAATCTTTATCCTAATACAATTATTCATTTTAACAGGTTTTTTGTGAGTTATCAAGTTAGTAAAAGCATTTTCTACAAATCATTATTATTGTCATGATTTCCACTTGCTGTACATTTTTTTTTTAATTTTTTAGTTGTAGTTGGACACAATACCTTTATTTTATTTTATTTTATTTTATGTGGTGCTGAGGATGGAACCCAGCACCTCGCACATGCTAGGCAAGTACTCTACTGCTGAGCCACAAGCCCAGCCCCTTGCTGTATATTTTTATTTACTTATTTTGGTCTTTATTGCTCAATGTGTTAAGTTAAAGAATATCAGCAATTTCAGAATAGACTCTTCCATATGTTGCTGTGTCTTTTTAAATTTTTAATCAATAATGTTAAAGAAATAGAAGTGATATGATGAGAGATGATGACCATGACCATTTGTTCTTTTATTATGCAGTAACTTCTGAGTACCTCCTATGTCTTAGTCCCACACTAGACTAGAATCACAAGTCATGGGCTGTATCATTAAGATCAAAGTCTGGCTGAGCACAGTGGTACCTGCCTGTAATCCCAGCAACTCGGGAAGCTGAGGCAGGAGGGTCTCAAGTCGGAGGACATCCTTAGCAACTTAGTGAAACCCCGTCTCAAAATGAAAATTAAAAAGAGACTGGGGGTGTAACTCAGTGGTACACTATTCCTGCGTTCAAACCCCAGAACAGAAGAGGAGGAGGAAGAGGAGGAGGAGAGAGAGGAAAGAAGAAGAAAAGGAGAGAAGAGGAGGGGGAGGGAAAATAAGAGGGTGAAGATATCAGTCTGGCTGAGGAGCAAGCTTGCAAATCAACAAGAATGTAGTGTTGTCATATTGAATTATGGGATATTTGGTAGGAACACAAAGCAAATGGTCAATACTTGGAAATTTTAATCAGAAACAGTTTCATAGTGAAGAAGCTGTTTCAGGTGAGACTTAAGAGAGACAAAAAGAAAAAAGTATTCCAGATAGAAGGAGCAGTTTGAATAACAGCCTAGGAGCTTGACTTCCCATCATATATTGTAAGGATCATATAACCAGTCTGACATGACTTGGAAATAGTACATGTGGTAGTGATTGAAATTAAAGATGGCATAGATTTACGTGGAGGTGTGACATCAGAGATCCCCCAAACCTTGTGGAAATAACAGAATACTGATATCTGCAAAGGATACATTTTTAGCAACAACACAACATACCATCAGGCATTAGAGACTTCTTTGTATGCATAGGTTCTTGAGTCTCCATACATGATAGTGTTAGGGAAGATAACCAGATGATGTCTCATCAAGTCTCAGATAACTTTAGATTAGGGATGACTAAGTCATGCTGCCCCAAATGCATCACCCAAAATACCCAGAAAAATTACTTTAGCATGCCAAGCCCCGTAGGTTCTATCATTTCCTGGGCAACCAGTGCCATCTGATGCCATTGTTCACAGCTGTATAACCTAGTACAGGTAATGGACATGAAGAGGTTGCACTGAAATCACATATTGATGGTGTCCTTGAACCTAAGCAATTTACTGTAGACCTGGGAGGGCCTGAGCATGGGTTTGGCCACATTCTACAATTGGGATGCACTTAGAATGTAGTGTTTACCAGAGTGGGCACCTCTTCACTATAGAACTGTTTCTGATTAAAATATAAATATATACATATGTACATGTATATATGTATAACAAATAAATATTTATTTATTTATTTGTTTGGTTGGTTGGTTGGTTTTTTGTTTTTTTGTTTTGTTTTGTTTTTTGTTTATTTTTCTTGCAGAGGTTCACAATGACCATGAGAGTATTCAAAGTATGGCAATAAAGAAACCCATTTTGGTTTGGTTTGGGGCAGTTTTTCTAAACAAATAGAACTGCAAAACTTTTTTTTTCAACATAGTCCTTTAACATCCATGGAACTACTGTTCCACTTGACATTGGGGGAATCTAGAAAGTTTGTGAAGAGCTAGACTATCAAAATCCCTGCACACCATGACAAAGAGCAGGAGTATGTCCTGTAGGATTTTAGGCAGGGAAATAAGGTGTTCATATTTGCACTTCCCAAAGAAGGGGCAAGTTGGGCTGTCGGTCAAAGTAGCAGGTCAAGAGGGTGGCACCTATGTAAGGGGTATCTTCTTTATGAAAAGAATGGGACTTCCAGGACTTAGTGATCTGCTGAATGGAGGGAGAAGGACCACACAGAGCAACTCCTGTGAAGGTGGCCCAGTGGCTCACTACATGAGGAGAGTGGCAGGTTTTGTGGGAAAGAAGATGAGTTTCGTTCTGGCCTGCATTCTGAGGCAGCCATGATGCAGGACTCAAGAGAGGGGCCCGAACTCAGGTGGGTGACACATCACAGTGGATGCCCTGAGACCAAAAACAACAGAAAAGGTAAAATGGGGATGAGAGAGTTCCTCAGAGGGACAGTAATATTGAAAAGGCAGGAGGGAAACGGTAGATGGAGGTAGACGGAAATGAGGAGAGAGTAGTTTCATAGAATTTAAGAGAGAAAAAGGATCCCCCTCCAAAATAATAATAATAGGGCTATCATTTGCATGGCTTTCCTCACAGGAAGTTAGAAGATAATTTTAGCTAAGAGTAATTTAAAATTTAAATAAATAGAAAATGTGGTCTCTATCTCTTTCCTTCATGCTATTAAGTTTGCTATCGGAGCATTGCATGTGTAGGAAAATTTGCAAATTTGGAAATGCCTAGAGGTTCAAATAATGCATAATGTTCCAGTCTTAATATTATTATTTATTAGCATGTTACATCATATAACATATTTAAATGCCTTAATTAATATGAACCAAACATATATGTTAAACTAAATGCCTAAGTGTCACTCACACTTTCCATTTTCTAACCCACTTCAATTTGTTTTCTAATAATTAATATATTAAAACATTTGAGCTGCCTTGAATACTTTTTATAAATGAGATGAGTGATCATTTTAAAATGAATTTCTAGTGACAAAATTAAATATTTTTAAAAAGCCACCTAAATATTGGAAGAAAACTATGCTGTTCTTCTAAGATATTTTACCAAAACCTAAGTCTCACACTTACCCAAAGATTACCATTTTATAATATCTTTAATGTGTCTTTTATAAGCTGACCTCTTAAATGTGGTTGTAAGTGGCATACTGTAAGTAGCCTTAGCAGCCTTAATGATAATCTTTCTTACCCAGTAATTTATTTCACGGATCTAGCTGATGGCATAATCACATTGTATTGTCTTCCATTAATTCTAAAAACACGGCTTTGGAAGCATAGTGAGGCTAGGGTGTAGCTAAGTGGTAGTGTACTTGCCTAAGGGTTCAATCCCCAGCAACATACACACACAGAGAGAGCACAGTAAAGTATATGTGCTTTCAAGGAATCAAAGTAAAAACATTCTCTTGAAAATTAGTTAAAAAATTTTAGTGCTGTATGAGTATGTAAGGATTCTGAATTAAACATCAAATATCAAAATTTCCTTTTAAATTGGAATGGGAAATGGAGTCTCAAAGGGGTAAAATTATGATTCTATCCTAAAATAAAACCTTTTTTTTTTCACTTTTTTACTCAATTTTGGAGTCAAATTGTTAGTCACTAAGAGTCCTGAATGTGGGATAAAATTATCTAGTGTCGGCTTCTGACATGGACACCTCCCACACTGGCAAATAATTTATTTTTATGTGCCGTTGCAAAAAAGGGAGTTTTTACTTCACAGAATATTTAAGACGATAAAATAAAATCATCAATGCAAAGTACTTACCATGTGTTTACATTTATAGAAAGCAAACAACTGATACACATTTATAATAATCATTTTAATAAGTAAAAAATTTTGCTTTTTTTCTTATTTCTTCCATTTAGCAATTATTATACAAATACAAGCCCTAAAGATGGAGCTCTTCATTTAGAAACACGAGAAGTATACTCTGTTGATCCGTACAACCCAGCAAGCTAATCAGAAGACAAACTGGTATCTAATGAAATTTAAATATTTTTATACATTTATATGTCAAGATTTCCTTCCATTTTTTTGCCAATAATCATAGTGCTATTTTATCAATAAGCATAGTACTAAGTATATATTGCTCTGACTTGCACAAATCTTTAGTGACCATGCACGTTGTTAATTTACCTACTTCATATTGCCAAATGATCTTCCTGGTTTTGTAAAAGTCCATTCATCCATTCAACAAAGATATAACTAAATAGTACAATGACCAAGAAAGAAAGAATGAAGAAGATAAATGTTATAAAGAGAAATAAAGTAGGCAAAGGAGACAGAGAGAACATGGTGGGTCTGAGTTTTGTCTTTACTAAGAGAATGGCATTTGAGCAAAGAGTAGAGAGCATTAAGGAGCCAGCCCTGGGGCTTCATGGGGAAGAGCATCTCAGAAAGCACAAAGGCCATAAGAGGCAGTAAGCTGCCCTGTTGGAGCCAGATGGTCAATGTGACTTCAACTGGACTGACCAGGGGTTAGAGTCTCTGATTCTCATTAGAGGAATAGAGAATGGGGATAGGGTGATTGTACAGAGTATGTGAGGTCATCGTGATAAATGTTTAAGCCAAGATGCATCACAAACACCATAACTGGTATGTTAAGAAGAAACTATAGGAAGCCAAGGGTGGAAGTCAGGGTGCCAGTGAGGAGGCTGCTGCAATAACCCAATCAAGAAATAGTGAGTGCCACCACCAGGCTGGAGAGAAGAATCCAGATTCCACGTGCATTTTTCAGAGGGTAACAATAGGATTTGCTGACAGTTTATTTCAGGATAAGAGAGAGAGAGAGCAAGGCAATGATGATGATGTCAGGGCTTTTGGGCCTAAGCAACCAAAAGGAAAGAGTTGCCATTAAGGTGGGTGGGAATGTGAAGAGCAAGACTGGGGAGAAGAATGGAGTTCCATTGGGGGATGAGTCATCTACCATGAGAAATGCACAAGCTGAGGTACAAGTCCGTGCTGCAGGCAATAGGTCCAGCCTGGAGATACGCATTTGGGCCTTGTCTGGGTGTGGATGTATGTGACAATGAGATTAAATAAGATCACCAAGGGTGGGGGTGGTGTAAGAGGCTAGGGAAGAGAAAAATCCCAGGTCCTGAGCCTTGGGTACTCCAACAGGGAGGAGATATGGGTTGAAAAGGGACCAACAAAGGATGGAAGAAGCAGAAGTGGCCCCTGATGCAGAAGAGCCCCAGAGTGTGCTGTTCTAGAAGTCAAATGGAGAAAGAAGAAAGCAGCAGGGACCAACTCCACCAACTGCTATAGATAGGTCACAAAAGATGAGCAGTGGAAATTGACCATTGGCTTTAGTAGCACAAAATCTATTAATGAACTCGATGAGAACAGTTTGGGCAGAAAGGAGGCAGGCAGAATTATGACTGTCATGACCTTATGAGAGAATGAAAGAAGATAAATTGTAGATATCAATACATACAGCTTTTTCTACATGTTTTTCTTTAAAGAGGACCAGATACATGGAGTGACAGCAAGAGGTAGAAAGAAGAGGAAGAAGTCAGAGGAGATATTTTTTAAGAATGGATAAATCGCTGTTATGCTGCTGTTCTATATGCTGATGAGAATGATCTGGGGGAAAGTGATGGCAGGAAAGAGGGAAGACTTGCTGGAGCAGCGTCTGGAGGCACTATAAGGAATAGGGTCTACTGCTTGAGCAGAGGGGTTGACCTGCTACGGGAGAAGGGTTTGTCACAGAAGGGAAGGCAGAATAGACAGGTGCAGGTGAAGGCAGATGAGAGGTCTGGTGGTGCATGCATGGTGGTGAATGCATGGGTGGAAATTCCCTTTGATGATTTGTCTTCTCAGTGAAGAGAAAGCAAATTGATCAGCTGATTCTGAGAATGGAAAAGACTCTAGATTATTAAGGAGAATGGAGAAGCTATTTTATAGCAAACTAAAAATTGAAGACTAAATCATAGGGAGTACAGAAATGTGGACAGGCACCCTAAAGGATCCATCTAAGGCAGAAAATGGGGGTGAACACCAGAAGGTTTACTCTGCCCTGGCATTTATGTTGAGCGTCTTTCATGCCCTCACTATCATCCTGAAAGACAGATACTATCCCCAAATAATACCAAGATGAAATAATATCCTAGATGAGAAAAAAAAGAAAAAACAAGACTAAAAGATTCTCTTGGCCAACCTCAAGAATTCAAGTTCAAAAGTGACTTGAAAATGCTTTCTCCTACACAACCAATAAGACAAAAAAAATGCAGTTACCACCTCTGCCCTTTTGGAAATTACTAAAGGAATATGAAACTTATATATCATAGGGTCAGAATAAATACCATAAGCAATGTACAGAAAAGCCATAGTGGTAATAGAAGAAGAAAAGTTACTAATAGAGAGTTGTAGAAAAAGGGAAGAGGAGAGCAGGATACTTCATACCAGAGAGATCTCCAAATCCAAACCATGAGAGACCAGAGTAAACCCATTGAATAAACATTTGTTGAATGAATGAATGAGAATGATATGATTACTTCCATTTCTCCCTCATTGGGTTATTCACATTTATCAACATAAATACAATTATTATCTGTTCCAGATCCTGTTTTCTGAAGAAGCATGTCTTATGGAATGATGTCTTCTAATAGGCGTTAAAGGTTATAATTGAATGAAAACATTAACGCTCTCATTATTTGAACATCAAGTTGCACCGCTGCCACCTAAACACGAACGACCTATTTCCATGTGGTTTATGACTTGGAATCCCATGGAACATTCATTGGAAAGACATCACCTTAAGATCAGCAAGTCTCTTTGTGTGGTCTCAACGTCAGTCAAGTGATTTCATAAGCTAATAACTTCCTGTATGTACTTATTCCCAAGCAAATCAAAGAAAATTTGCTTGATATTAAAGACAGGAACTGAGGTTCACTGCCATGAGCAGTGCAAGGCTTTGCCAAAGACTCCCTGTGATCTGCCTAAAGCCAGGCTGTGGCAATGAAAAAGGACATGGCTTTAGAAGTGTCACCTTCTTACCAAAGCACTGAAAAGAGCTGTCCTCGCCTCTAGACCGATCCTCTTTTGTAGCCAGCGTACTTACTGTTGCCATATGCTTTGGGTTTAATGTGGCTTTAATTATTTAAGCCACATACAGAGTACGCTCTGTGATTATGATGGGCCTGCCTTTGGGGAAAGACTGGCTTTATTTTAATAGTAGCTTCCTTCTCTGATGTGGTTAAATATTTCACTTTTAGCCCCATTTGTTTTAAGTTTCTCTGACAAACTGTATATCCTTTGCCTTTTCCATAATCACTGATTTCAATTTGCACAAGTTTTTTTTTTTTTTTTATTATAGGAGTCAAGTTTTAATTCTAATGATTTGGTATATATTTCAAGCTTTGGATATTTTCTGAACATTTTTAATATGTACATTAGTCATTCAAATAAACTGTATTTGCAAAACAAACAAACAAAAATCACTTGCCTTGTATGATTCTGTTTTTCTGGAATCAATATTTTTTATCTTTTGTACCAGAGATTGAACCCAGGGGTTCTTAACCACTGAGCCACGTCCTCAGCCCTTTTTATGTTTTATTTTGAGACAGGGTCTCACTGATTTGCTCAGGGCCTCAGCAAGTTGCTGAGGCTGGCTTTGAACTTATGATCCTCCTGCCTCAGTCTCCCAAGCTGCTGGGATTCCAGGCCTGTGCCACCACACCTGACTAGAATCAATAAACTCCTGGCATAACTGACATAGTTATGTCTTGAATAACAGTCACAGTCCTAGTTCATGGTTTAAGTTATTCATTCTGGATAGCACCACTTGATCATTGTAGAAAAACTCTCAACCTACAAGTTCAACTTCCTCACTACCAATGCCTTCTCTTGTATTTATCCAGCTCACCTTTCCTCTCCCATCACACTCTAGCTCTAGCTGTTAATTTTCTGTGTTCAGTCATTTAAACTATTGTGACACAAAACCCTGCTCAACAGTGACCACAAATTTCCTCTCTCTACTTTTTCCTAGATGAGATATGCAGTTCAGCGTATTTTTTGTAATTTTTTTAAATTGTGGTTTTGTTCAAAAAACCCCACACATTTAACATGAAATTTACCATCTTAACCAGTTTTAAAAGTGCAATTCAGTAGGACTAAATGTAGTAACATTTTGTAAAAACAAATCACAAGGATTCTTTTTTTACCTTGTGAAACTGAAAATCTATATCCCTAAAAAATAAATTCCCATTCCCTTCTTCCCCAGCTCCTGGACACCACCATTCCACTTTTTGTTTTCTATGAACTTGACTACATTAGAAGCCCCATGCAAATAGACTCACACAATCTGGCGTATTTCCCCTAGCATGATGCCCTCAATGTTCGCCCCTGCTGTAGCATGTGACAGGATTTTCTTCTTTTTTTAAGGTTGATATTCTGTTACCTATTGTGTTAGCTTTCTGTCACTGTGATAAAATACTTAGGATAAACAATTTAAATAAGGAAAGGTGTATTGGGGCTCATGGTTTTAGAGGTTACAGTCCATGGTCACTTGACCCCGTTATTTTGGGCATGGAGTGCACAGTACATCATGGTGACAGCATGATAGAGGAGGTCTGTTCACCTTTCCTCATCATGGCCATGAAACAGGGAACAGGGGGTGTACAGGGTTGAAATATAAGGGCACACCCCTAATGACCTAACTGCCTCCTGCTAGGCCCCATCTCTTAAAGATTCCACCACCTCCCAATAGCACATGGGCTTATGACCAAGCCTTTAATACTTGGACCTTGGGGGTTACTTCCAAACCACAGCACACATACATACCACATCTTGTTTATCCATTTATCTATTGGTGGACACTTGGAGGTGTTGCTCCCACCTCTTGGCTATTGTGAATAGTGCTGTCATGAACATGGTTGCAAACTTCTCTTCAGATATTTCTTTCAAGTCTTTTAGTCACTCACAGTGGGGACCATTTTTATTTCCCTATGATATCTGTTCACTTACCTCAAGTCATCTATTCTACCTTCAACCCTCCTTCCTTGAACTCTTAGCAGGTCATGGACACATCAGAGGGCAATTATCTTGGCCTTCTCTTTCTCCACCTCCACTCACCCTCATTCTTATTTCCATCCACCACTTTTCACCACATCCTGCCTCTTCTAGGACATTGCTCCATCAGTTACACTCTCTCCCCTCTCTGGCTCCTTCTTCCCACCTATAGGCCTCCTCAAGCCAGGACCCATTTAGCTGCAAGGGAGAACAATCTATTTTTCACTGGCTTAGGTAAAAAACAGAATTTATTATATGACAAGACAGAAAAGACCCAGGGTATAGTTGGCTTCTGTCAAAACAGGAATTAAATATTCAAATCATATCCTCAGAAGTCAGTCATATCTCCCATTCTGCGTTCCCTTACTGGTTTTATTCTCTGGCAGACATTCCCTAAAAACTGGCATACTATTTGATGACATTGTCAAAGCCACATCCCACTAGCTTAGCACTCCAATACCAAGAGCTTCTCTCGTAAACAAATTCTTCAGTAGTTCTGATTTACCCAAATAGGGTTACATGCCTCCAAATGAACCAATTATAGGGCCTCAGTTGCCCACCCAGCTTTGGAGCTTTGGGATAAATCTTTGGAGCTTTAGGATAAATCTATCTTGGTGGCTCCCAAATGGGACTATTTCCCCCCAAGGGACCCTTGGCAGTGTCTAGAGATATTTTTAGTTGTTACAACTGGACTCTGGGGATGCTACTGGCATCTAGTGGATAGAGACCAGAGATATGGCCAAGCATGCTATGACTCTCAGGACAGCCCCCGCCCCAAGACGAAGAGTTACCTAGAACAAAATGTCAACAGTATTGAGGTTGAGAACCCACAGTCTACCTGAACTACATGGAAGCAGAGGAAAAAGTGGATTTTCCAGTGGAAAAATATGGGGAGAAATTCCAGAGGAAGGAACCCATTTAAAGCAATAGATTGCAACATTCCCTCCATTTCAAAATAAATCCTCTCTAAATTATCCGTGTTTCTTTTTCAAACTATCTTCTTTTTAACCACTAAATTTTCTGAAACAGTAGTTGACCTTAACCGTCTCAACCATCAGTCATTCGTCTTCCACCCTCTATGTGCTAATCACTGTTTTAGGTCAGTGGGATTCAGCGGTGATAAAATTGACATGTCCTCATTCAGTCAGACAATAATCAGACTGTCAAATGGCAATAAAATGAAAAAATTAAATACATTTTAGCATATTTTTTATTGGAGCCTTATAGTTATATATAGTAGTTGCTAATTTTTAAAATTATGAGAACCAAGAAAGAGGAAAGGATTTTGGAATGGATGTAGAATTTTAAAGAGTGGCCAAGGAAGGTCACATTTGAGGAAAACAAAAAACAAACAAAAAAACAAACCGCAAGGAAGTGAGGAGATGGCTATACAGGTAGACTTCTATGCAAAGAGCATTTCACACCAAAGGAACATTACTGAACAGTTGCTACACTCACTGCATTGGGAGACTAATTATCATGGGAAACTATTATCATGCCAAGTCCAATCGAAAGGAGGAGTTGCCAATTCTAGGGAGAAAGACGATTCCTGGAGTGAACTTCTTGAGCAAGTAAAAGCAGACTGAACCTAGCATGAGAGTGGAGAAGTCCTCAGATGAGGTAGCGAATGGTACAAGTATACTAACAGGTGATAACAAAGTTTTATAAGCCAAATACAGGCATTTGTTGGGAGTAATGACAGAAAATAGAAGATTCTGAAAATTCTTTGATTACATTTTCTCAGTGATAAAAAAGAAAGAAATCCCATAAATGGAGATTAAGAATGATGGAGGAAGTATCATAATTCAATGTTAAAATAAAAATAAAAACATGAAACAGTCATTTAGGAGAATGGGAGAGTAAATGGTCTAAATAACCATAGGAATACCAGGCAGAATTACAGTGACCCATTTGAAATGAGTTGTCATTAAACTAGCATGTGATGTAAGGCTGAGTTTTCCCTTTTCAATAGCTTAATACGATCTGGCTTCTTCCATTAAAACTAACTTGAAAGGATAACAACAGATCCTTGAAAAAAAATGGTATTGGTTGCAATAAAAAGGAAGTATGATAAAGTGGTATGATTAAAGCAGATATTTCTTACAGTAGAGTCTTAGAGGACAGCATGATGAAAAATAAGAAATTAAGGCTTTGGAACGTTACTATTTCTTAAGTAGTAAGGGGAAGTAAGATTTGGAAGAGAGGGACTGATGAGTGAGGCAGTATTCTGGAAAGTTTATATGCACCTCCTAGTGATACAGCCTTTCTGGGCCATGTTTCCATTAGGGAAGCTGCACCTAGCAGAGAACAGTCTTCCACAGAACAGTCTTCCACCCTGAACCTCTTTACTCCATCACGAATCCATCACACTTATGCATGGAGGACATACAAGCTAATGCATTTATTGAAATACCTGCTACAATATCTTTTTTTTTTTGAGAGAGAGAGAGAGAGAGAGAATTTTTTAATATTTATTTTTTACTTGTACACAACATCTTTATTTTATTTTTATGTGGTGCTGAGGATCGAACCCATGCCAGGTGAGCGCGCTACCACTTGAGCCACATCCCCAGCCCCTGCTACAATATCTTTTCAGCTCTCTTCTAGTTTCCTTGCCTCAGGAATTACTCCAGTCTCCAAACAACTCATTCCAAGTCCAGTGTTAGAGACAACTGACCCATGTTTCACTTCATGGGTAAATTCAGGGTCCTTGTTCTCGGTGCCAGAGACCTGTGAGCACTTAGGACAAGGTTCATGATTGGACTTGTATTTTAATATGATTAGCTTTCTCTGTAATCCTTTGCACTTTGCTTATGTATTTAAAAAAATAGTTCTAAGAAGAGATCCATAAGCTTGACCAGACAAGCAAAGACATATACAGGATGCACAAAGATGTTAAGAACCAATGGGTGGAAGAGATCCCTCCGTTTCTATTCTGATCTTCTTTTTGATTTTTTCTACATGTTCCCTCTTGACTGTCTCATTAATTCCTGTGATTTTGACCATCTCCCATCCCTTTCCTTGTTCAAAGTCTTCTTGTGCTTTTCTGAAAGCCCAGCCTCATAATCAGCAAATTATCTACATTCCCAATCTTTTTCTGAACATTCCCACACCTGGCCTTTGCTAAACCACTAAACCCCATCAGTCGCGAGCCCAAGTCTTTCCAAATTTAAAAAAAAAAAAAAAAAAACAAGTTTTGATATGCTCCTCTCCCATTAGTTTCCTTTTTTTTTTTTTCTGTAACCAATTACCTATGGTTGAAAGCAGCACAAAATTATTATTTTACAATTCCAGAGGTCCGAAATTCAGATGAGCCTTACAGGTCTAAAACCAAGGTGTTGCCAGGATTGGTGGCTTCTCCAAGGGAGAATGTTTCTTGCCTCTTTCAGCTTCTAAACGTGGCCTCCCTTAGTCTGTGACAGGAGTACTCTGATCTCTGCTTTCATCATCAATCTCCCACTCTGATCTGCCTCCTTCCTCTTATAAGGATCCCTGTGATTACACCAAGCCCACTAGGCCAATTAGGGATAATCTCCCCATTGCGACATCCTTGATTTAATCACATCTGTAAAGTCCCTTTGCCATGTAAGGTAACACAGGTTCTGGGGTTTGGAATGTGAACGTCTGGGGGGAGGGCATTATTCAAACTACCACACATACCCCCATTTCTCTCATCCTTGAATTCTTAACTCTCTGCACTAACCCTCTGCACTCTCTGTCCTTCCATATTTCTTATTTCATTTCAAATCTCATTGATTTCTAATCCTGAGGCTGACTCTCGATTCCTTTCTTTCTCTCGCCACTATCTTTAATAAAGGAAGTAAAATAAGCAAATCCCGTTCATTTCATCTCCAAGATTTTGGTTAGTTGTTCACATAGCAACCCAGTGATAGCGCCCTCGAAGTCTCACTTGGATGATGGCAAAGCCTCCTTACGGGTCTTCTGCATTCACTTTTGCCCTATTCTAATCTAGACTCTATATCATGTACAGAATTATAGTTTTAAAATGCAAACCTGACTAAGTCACTCTTTAAAAAAAATTTCAATGGCACGGCATATCTGAATTCACCAATAATAAATCGATTCTTCATATTCATTTGTGCACTATGAATGTCCTTGAAACACGGAGAGTAGGCATTTCCCTAGCTGACCCACCCCCACACACGGATTCTTGCAAAGGCGAAAAGTCGTGCAAGAGTGTATGCTGACCAAGCTGCGACAAACCCCTGCCTTTGTCTGGAACCGCCCGCAGGTCCTCACACGTAAAATACAAGAGGGAGCTGAATCAGACTTTGATCTTGCACCTGGGTCCCTAAGGTAGCGAAACTCATCAAAAATAATGCGGAGTAAACAAGACCTCACCCAATAAGGGGAAGCTGTGGTCAAAAGCATTTTGTCCCGGAACCCCTCTGCCTTCCCCAGACCCTGGCGCGGAGCCCAACAATTGATGTCTCTCCGCGGCACTTTTCTTCATTTCCTTGGAGGTCTCATCTGCTTTCTAGATCTGCCTGGGGAGAATGGGGGCCTCTTTTCCAAGAAGCCCAGAGCCTGTGGAGCCCCCAGCGCCCGCTCTCGCTGTCCCCTGCGGAGGAGCCCTGCTGGCTGTCCTGATGCTGCTGGCGCTGCCGGCCGCCTGGGGTGAGACGCTGGAGGGCAGGGCGTGGGGAGGGGAGGCGAGGCGGGGACCAGGGAGGGGGCGAGGTAGCCCCCGCGGCTGCAGGAATAGCGCCTGACTGCTCTGGACGCGAGGTCCAAGGCGTGGCTGTAGGTACACTTAGCGCAGGTGGATCTGGGATCCCTCTGTGCACCCGAGCCCCTCCTTGCCTTTGGAGTGGAGATCCCTCTCCCAGGGCGTTCTGTGGCACCCAGAGCAGAGGAGGGCCAGGAATGCTCAACCCGTGCTGCATGAAATTCCTTGCCTTTGTGTATTCAGAGCCTGGACTGGCAATAGTAGACTGTGGCACTGATCCTAGTGAAAAGAAAGGATTGGGAATTCTACAAACCTGGTTCTCGTCCTTCAAACTTGAACTGTGAGGAAAGTTAATACTCCAGTCGGAGTCTGTTCCCTCATATGTAAATGGGGATATTGATATCATGGTGTTGCTACCCAAACGGCACGAAATGTGTCAGGTGTCTATCGCAGTGTCTGTCACTTAATTCATTTCTATCCGCCAACCCACTACCTCTGCACTTGGCTCCCAAGGGCGTTTAAGCTAACGGTGCTAGGAGTACAGTTATCACCCGAAAACTGCCCTGCATTGAACTCTATTTACATCCTCACCCCAAATCATCACCAATAGCAACACGCACTTAATTGAGCACCTAATTTAAGATCCTCCTATGCCAGGCACCTGAGGTTAGAATAGCAAGTGAGCTCCAGATCGCACAGTGTAACTAGTTGCAGGTGGAAGGACAGCAGAGGTTTATATGTGCCATTTTAGTGATGTGTAGGCATAAAATAAAGCCTATTATAACTACCGTACAGATTCTGAGGCCCCATCTTGCTTTCCTTCCTCTTAACTGTAAGTAGGTAAACATCTTCAATAGTAACTCTTCTCCTACTATTTGTGTCCTCCCCAGAAGTCTTCCTGGTTGCTTTGACTCATTGGCCAGAGTTGAAGTGACAATCTTGTCTATTTTTGTCCAGCCTCCTCCTGACAACTCAGGGTCTGCTCTTCTCCACCACTAGATATTTTGCTTTCATTATTTGATTGTTTCTTGACTTCTGACTGCAACAACAACAACAAAACAAGTTTCCACAAAGGATATTGTTGATATTTTATCTCCCTGGACATCAGAAAGTAACTTTTCAGATGAACAGTTGTGATAAAACTTGAAATTGTGTTTTTAATAGTATACCAAGTTAAATTAAGGAATGTGCTGTCAATGCTTAGAAATTTTTGTGGTCTTGGTATCTGTCTGCCCCCTTCTTATGGAATGTTATTATAGTTTGCTCGTGTTTATTAAGTTACCATTAAAACAATGCTGGACACTATTAATTGCAAAGAAAATATTTACTGAGGTTATCACAATAAACTCCAAAGGTGGCACCCTAAATTAAACTATCTAATAATTTGATTGCCAAAGTAATTTACATAGCATTTTGGAATTTAAAAGAAGTATAAGAAAAAGTTCTGCCTCTACGGTGTACGCATCTAGAAGTTGGTCTGCTTTTTCCAGGTTCTGCTAATTCCTAGCCGGGGACCTTGAGCCCAACACACGATTAACAACCCTAACCTCAATGTCCATGTGTATAAAAGGGGCATAATTGACATCAGGCTGAGAAGGTCATGGTGAAAATCAGATGAAACAGTGCATGTGACAGTGTTCTGTAACCCCCTCATGCAGAACTGAAAGTCCGTGACTAAGAAGTCACACAAGAGAGCCTAAAAAGTACAGGATAATTAACAAAGGAGAATTCTGACTTCCAATGTCAGAAAAGATTGAGAAGCAGCAATTTGGCTTTAGCAGTACTTGAAGAACAAATCTAACAACAGGTTGTACAAGATGATTCCTGGGGATATGTATTTTTATATAAAAATAGCAGAGGTATTTGGATTATTTTATTATTATAGGGTACTCATGATATTAATTTTAGTCAAAACAGACTTCAAACCAAGGAAAATGATGAGGGATAAAGGAATGATAAAAGGATCAGTTCTCCAAGAAGACATAACAATCTTTACAATGTGCATGCCTAACAACAGTGTCCAAATACATAAGGCAAAACCTGACAACACTGTGAGCAGGAACAGGTGAACCCACTATTATGGCTGGAGACTTCAACGCACTATATCTGAAATGGGCAGCTGTAGCAGGCAGAAAATCGATAAGGACATAATTGAATTCCACAGCATGCAGTCAACGCATGCAGTTGGCAATTATGGACCACTTCATCCGATGACAGCACAACGCACATTCTTCTCAAGTTCACATGGACCATTCATGGAGATAAACCACATTCAGGACCACAAAAGTAATAAGGTAGTTATGAGGACTGTGGTTAATACAGGGCGGGCTCTGGCGCCCTCTTCTGGTCTTCCTCTTGAGTCTTGTTCTGTTATCCCTGCTAAGTTTAGATGCCAATTTGCCTTCTGTGCTTTGTGATTTCATATGCTTAGATGAGTGGATTTATGGTTTATATTATCAAATTTTTCTAAAATAGACTTCACATTTTTACAAGTAATTTTTAAAAATATCCTGCACAGAAATACCAGGTAAAGATAATCCTAACAAGACCAACTCCAGCAAATAAAATGGCAGAGAAAACAGTCTCCCTTCCCATCCTCAAACACACACATATACACAGGATTTTTGAGAATGGAATTAAGAACAAGAGATACCATCTGCCTAATTACAATGAACAAATATCAATAAAACCAAAAAAAAAATCAGAAAGTATCATGAAGACTAGTTGAAAAGCAGCTTTGCATGCACTGTTAACAGAAATGAACTGTGAGGATATTTTGCCCTTTAGGTGAATTTAATGGTTGTACTAACTCATCATGATTAACAAAGGCTTTAAAATGTCTATTCCATTGGTATCGAATTTCTTCAAAGTTTTATAGATAATTCATATAATGTATACTTTGTAAATTTGTTGTTTTTAAGTGCATGGTATTTTTTTTAACTTGTAGTTGCTCCAGCAAAACCTTTGTAGTGTCCTTCATTAAATAGTGGGATATGCCGAACAGGATCAAAGTGTACCCCAGGTTGACAGCTTATATTGGAGTAAAGACACAGAAGTTAATTGACAATGAGTTAATTGTGCTTATAGCACAGGGTGAGTCAACCTGCCTTGAATGGAAGTTTTGAATCAAGAATATTTGAAAGTGGGCTGTGTCATCCAAAACAAAAACAAAATGAGATACCAATATACACCCATGAGAATAACTAAGATTGAGAAGACTGTACCAACTGTTGGCAATAAGTGAAATAAATGAATTATTAGCCATTGTTCATTGGCAGATAAAAGAGCACAGCCACTTTGGAAATACTTAAAAAGTTAGGCACACACCTGTCACGTGACTTGGCATGGTCTCCTAGATTTTTACCTAAGGGAAATGAAAGTTATGTCCAAAGACTTCTACATGGATTTTTATAGAGATTTTACTTGTAATCACCAATTATTGGAAACAATTAAAATGTCCTTCAGTAAGTGGATAAACTAAATTGTTATATTCAGTTATATAATGGAACACTTCTCAGCAAGAAAAAGAAACAATGTTTATACATGCAGCAACCTGGATGAATCTCAAGCTGTGAAAGCTGGACCAAAGCAAAATAAAATCTGAGTAATGCATATTATATGCAGTTCTAGAAAATCAAACCAATCTGTAGTTCAAGGAAGCAGGTCAGAATTTACCTAGAGAAAGAGGTGGAGGGTGGGGTGCCATGGTGCACCCAGTGACTCAGGAGGCTGAATCCAGAGGATCACAAGTTGAAGGCCAGCCTCAGCCAAATCCTGTCTCAAACTAAAAAATAAAAAGGACTAAGGATCTAGCTCAGTGATAAAGTGTCTTTGGGTTCTATCTCCCCCCAAAAAAAGGGAAAGCAAAAGAGAGAGAGCAGGAGGTGGAGAGATGGATGAATTATCAAGGGACATGAGGGAACTCTGCAGGGTGGGGAATGAGGTAGAAATATTTGTTTTCTTGATTTTGGTGATAATTTATTGATGCATCCATATGTCAAGTCATCAAATTGATGAGTACACTTACAAATGTTCAAAGGTATAAAATTTAAATTATGGCAGGTCTTGAGTTTAGGCAATGCATATTAATATATTTAATATAGGAAGTGGCCATAATTTGAGGTATTAATAATAAAGAAATGGAAACTAGATCAAGCTATCACTGCTGAAGACACATATGTACTGCCGCAGTCTGGCTGGGCACAAATGCCGCAGTCTGGCTGGGCACACAATCACGAGCCACCACACAGCTTGTAGATTCAAACAGCAACTCTTTATTCCCGAACTCACACCAGCCGTCTACAATCACGTTCTGGGGAAATCCACGTTCTCTCCCAAATCCACCTTCTCTGCCCAAATCCACCTTCACTCGGCTTCTGTCTCCCAAAATATACTGTCTGAATCCCGTGAGAACTCAAGGGGAACTCAGGCAGCAGGATATGCCCTATTCCCAGCAGGAATAATCTTAAACCTTAAACCTGGAACCTAAACTGGGAACGCCCTAAACAAGATTATCTTAAAACCGGGAACACCCTAATCTGCCTTGGTCCTTGAGCAAGGTCACGTACATTCAATGTCACTGCAACATGGGGTACGCTGGCAAGGAAATTGTCATACCTACTTGGCTAATGGCTCCCAGCATCTCCCCCCTTCTGATTAATTAAACAACAAGCAATGTGGCTTAAGGACCGTGCCTGGTAGGTTGTCCAATTCAACATATGGTTCTTACCCGTCATGGGAAAACTGACCTTTAGGCGTCAGCCTCCTGTCTTAGGTTGATACCACTGCAATTGAATCATACCCGTCACTGACTACCGGTCCAGCATACAGCCATACTTGTGGATAGGTCTATGCACCAGTGGGGGGGTGAGGTTCTTTGCCTCACCTCTGTTGGCCCCCAAATTTGGCCTTGGTGCCAGTGGGGGAGTGAGGTTAATGTGGCTTATGG